TCCGCCAATCCTTTTTAATTCAATTCCTCTTCCCTACTCAGACACAGTCCGATACCTTGGCTTCCTTCTGGACAAAAGACTGACTTGGAACCCACATAAGAGACTTAAAAGACAAGAGCTTAACCGACGATTTGGTCAGCTATATAGACTACTAAACAGAACATCTCATCTCTCAACAGAAAACAAATTATTAATCTACAAGACCATACTGAAACCTATCTGGACCTACGGACTTGAACTGTGGAGGACAACTAAATCATCGAATATCAAACGCATCCAATCCTTCCAGTCCAAAGTCCTTCGAACAATAGTCAATGCTCCATATTATGTCACGAACAAGACCCTACACCATGACCTTAACATCCCATATGTCCATGACATCATCCCATCCAGATTCTCCAACTTTCACCAGAACCTCATTTATCATCCCAATCTTCTAGCACAATCCCTATCCAGCTCCGAGCATCCATACCATCCCCCTCGAAGGTTGAAACGGCAGTGGCCTCGAGATCTTTTGTAAATATGCCTTTGGAGTCCTGGCAATGGCCAGCTTCTCCACTCATGTCCTGAGCGTCTGTGGCTGTAGTGCCCTTTTTCAGTCTCCACTGGCTTCTAATACTAGTGATGCGGCTGGAAAAGTGGCACTGGGATCTTCCGGAGTCTTGCTTTGCCTTCCACATGTGGGGAGAAAATCCTGGCTCGGAGATTCTTGGGCGAATGTATATATTGTATATAGTTATGATTGTGTTTAGAAGTTTTTATTTTATTTTATTTGTTTATTTTTATTTACCATCTTCATCAGTATTATTTATTTACTTCTTATATTTATATTTATTTCTTTATTATTTGTATATATTGTATGAATGAGAACTTTTAGCCCTAATGCTTATAGCCCTCCAGCAGTGGCTGATTGTATTATTATTCAATAAATAGATTTAAAAAAAAAAAAAAGCTGATTCATATTGTTAGTAAGAGTGAAAATTAAAAGTTTGAAACAAAAATGCTTGTTGATTAAGCCGTTTCTTTACTTAAATGAACGTTTTTAATAAAATGAGAAGAAGTGGAAAGATAGCTCTCTATTAGATTGAGAAATCTTTATTCTATTTTGCCATGAAACATTTTCTGAGTCTGTAACCAAATATTTTTTCCGAAAAATAATAGAAAATATGCGTTTCCAGTGTTTAGACAGCAATAAAACGTTATAATTTAACAAAAAGTTCATCTAATAACACAAGAAGTGTTATTCCCAATCTTTTTGAAATCGTCATAAGCAGAATTAAACAAATTAGGTGAAATCCACAAAACGGCAAATGCTCAATTCTACAAAATGAATTGATGTTCACCCAATAGCAGTTAGAAGGTTATTAGATGACATAGGCTTTTCAACTGGGAAAAATACATTGATTTCATCTAAGGATGAAAAGAAGTTATTTGAATTTGCTAATTTCACAAAGGTAAAGGGATTGAGAAAGAGTATGTGATGATAATATTCATAAACAATGCTGAAAAATAATGAAAGCTTAAAAAATAAAAACATTCTACAAACGATGAACCTATATGATTATATGATATGATGGCAGATTAACCATGTATCCTGATTATTTTTTAAGTATGCAGAAGGCTAGGATTTAATAATGAGGAAGAATACTGTGAATTTAGTAACAAGGCAGGTACCCTCCCATACTAAGAAGGCTGATCTCATCATTGGTTTTAGATCTGCCTCTAAACTATAATATCGATGAGCTCAGCGCTGAGTCTAGGATCATAACTTGTCCAACATAAGTGTTGGACAAGTTAAATTCTCTTAAGATATAAAAAGATAGTGAACAAATAGTACAATCAAAACATATGAAATGAAATGAAATGAAATGAAAATGAAATGAAAAAAATGTTTTATTATTCTGGGACTGTTGTCCCTTAAGAACAAAATATGAATACAGATTATATGTCTGTGTGGCTACAATTAAATTGTATATTTACAATGAAAGTTGACTTACGATAAAAATACAGAAAAGAGAAAAAAAAGAACAAGTAAATTGTACATATGTATGAGAAACTAAAATAACCTTAATAAATTGAGGTAGTCTCTGGTGGTGCTCAGATATTTCTCTAAGATATATTTCACAATCATTCGGATTGAGAAAGGAGTAGGTGCTTAAAGAGGAGTGGTTTAAACGAGGAAACTGATTGAGCGTGTCGAATATCAGCTGGGATGGAATTCCAGAGGGAGGCGGCTTGTATTGCAAAGGATTTGTCAAACGCAGCAGTTCGGTGAGGAGGAGGATAGAGGTCGGAAGTACGAGATCTGGTGGGACGGGATTGGATGGAATATTTGAATTGTAAGCTGTGAAAAATATAGGAGGGTCGATGGGTTCTAATAATTTGGTACAGAAAGGTGGCTAGGAAGTACTGACGGCGATAGGATGGGTAGAGCCACCTCAACTCAGTGTAATACTGGGTAATATGCGTATCCCTTGAGATTCCGAAAACAAATCGTAGTGCGCAATTCATTAGGCGTTTAAGTTTGGCCTCGGAATCTCCCGGGAGTCCACCGTACACCATACAGCCATAGTCGAAGTGGGGGAAAACAAGGGAGGAAACTAGGAGTTGACGGGACTTATATGGAAGGAGATATCGTAGACGATTGAACTGTTTTAGGGTGGAGATAGTGCGACGGGAAATTTGGGAGATGTGAGGTTTCCAGGATAGGGATTGATCGAAAGTAACACCTAGGTTTTTAACGGTGGTGTAGAATAAGATAGGTGAGTTGTTCAGGAAGAGTTTGGGAGATACTGGGGAGGATTTGAGGAGTGAAGGGGATCCGATCAAGATGGCTTTTGTCTTCTCAGCGTTCAGAGTGAGCCTATTGAGGTTTGCCCAAGCACTTATTCTGTCAATATCTTCCTGAAGTTTTTGAGTGGCATCTGAGATATCTGTCGGATTAAAGGAGAGGTAAATTTGAATGTCGTCGGCATACAGGTGGTAATGACAGTGCAGGATAGAGGATGGGAGGTCATTTATATAGATGGAGAAAAGGGTGGGGGATAAGGAAGAGCCTTGTGGGACGCCTCTGGTCAGAGGTAGAGATTCTGATGGTGGGTTATTAGGAATTACAACGTACTGGGAGCGACCGGTTAGGAAGGATTGGAACCAATTAAGGGAACTAGAAGAAAAAGAGATATTTTTAAGTTTGGTTAGGAGGATGTTGTGGTCTACTGAATCAAAAGCTTTGGAGAAGTCTAGGAGAATAAGGATGGTTAGTTTCTGCTGATCTATGGCTGTGTGAAGGTCTTGGGAAATTTTGATTAGGGCAGACTGAGTAGAATAACCAGGCCTGAATCCAGACTGGTAGGGATTTAGGAGATTATTGTCCTCTAAAAAATGGGATAGCTGGGATTGGACTAACCGCTCTAATGGTTTTGAGAGGTTTGAAAGGAGGGAAATCGGTCGGAAATCATTAGGAACTGATGGGTTTGAAGTCTTCTTCAATGGGCGTACTAGGGCGGTTTTCCAGGATGTAGGGAAGGTAGCATTTTGAAGAGAATAATTGTATATATGATAAAGGATCGGAAGAATGGATGGCAATGCGGCTTTAATCAGTCTGACTGGGATGTTGTCGGGACCGTAATCATTGGTATGGGAGTTCTGAATGGATTTAAGAAGCTCATCTGGTGTAATATGGGAAAGAAAGAAGTGATCAGGATTAAAGGAAGAAAACATAGGAGCCAGACTGGACGTGGGAGATGCGGATGCAAGAGGACAGGAGACAAAGTGAGCGTTGAGGTTATCAGCAGAAACGGAATTGGACTGAGACTGGGGTGTATTACCAATGGTCAGTTTTCTAAGAATAGCCCACGTAGCCTTGGTATTGGGAGAGTTGGATAGGGAATGATGGTAGTAACGGGATTTAGCACGGCGTACTGCTGATTGAGTGCTATTTCGAAGCTGTTTGTAGGAGAGAAAATCATCAGGAAGTCGAGTTCGTTTAAACCGTCGCCTTGCAGCATCTCTTTCTCTCATACACTCCCTCACAGCAGGGGTAAGCCAAGGAGCTGGAGGATATCGGATGGTTTTTGTGATAAGAGGAGCATGTCGGTCGAGGATAGAGTGAAGTTGAGTGGTAAGGATTTCTACCATGGTGTCTATGGATTTTGAGGAGTAGATGGGATCCCACTGGACATCGTCAAGACCTTCTGACAATGTTTCGTGAGTGAGATAATCACTCTCACATATGCTGTAAGTTAAATTAAGTTAAGTCACACCAATTACAATAGAATATATATCACAACTTCAATCAAAATTAAGACTTCGTGGAAAAACTATAGACAGATCTATATATTTTGATGTTTTAAAAATAAATACAAAAACGAATGTTGAAAAGTTATGTAAGCAAAGCAACTGGATTCTCCAAATCAAAGCATATAGCATATATCATAATCCTCCTGTTAATTAATTCAAACTCAATTACTTGCAGAGTGAAATTAAAGGAAATATAAGAAATTATGAAATTCAGAATAAAAGTTATTTATTAAAAATACAATAGTGACAAAATGGAACCAACAATTTCATCTATTCTATGCCTCAAATACTTGACACTGGAATTGCAGCTACAGAGAGAGCAATGGATTACTGACTTTTTCAATCATCCAGATGAATTCAAAAAGCAATTAATTCGTGTGATCGTTTATTTAAAAGAGTTTACTATAGTAGCTTATTATTTCTGTATTTTTGTGATATATATATACTTTATCATCGTTGAACTGAACAGTTGTCTTTATAGGAATTTTTAATCATTTTTTTTCATGTAATGTAGTTAAATATGCTTAGAATAAGCTTTTGCACTCGATTTTGAAATTTTTTTACTCGGTTTTATTATTTCTAAATGAGTTAATTTTCAAATGTATTTACACTTTTGCTTCTGACAATAAATTACCATACATATATACATTAAAGTGGTATACTTAACAAGTAGTGTCAGTATAAAAATAACAATACATCACCTGCTGATAAGTGGGGTCAGGCAATACTGAAGGCAATACAAATGAATTGTAAATAGTTTCGTAATTTTCTAAACCACAGCCGGCCTTCAATTGTTCTAAATGAGGACAGGCCATTATTATGTTTACAAAACATGAAATGTCAATTGTTAACAAACTAGTTTGATAGAAAGAACACTTTTTGAATAATTTGAATCTGGTAACAAGGCAGGTACCTTCCCATACTGAGAAGGCAAGTTCCTAAGCTCAGCACTGATCTCATCGATGGTTTCAGATCCTCCTCTAAACTAGCCTAAATTATAAAATCGATGAGATCAGCGCTGAATCTAGGAACTTAACTTGTCCAACATAAGAGATATAAAAAAGTATTGAACAAAGAGCACAATCAATACATATGTCGTAAGTTCCATTAAGTTAAATCACTGTACCCAATTGATTATTAAACTGATAAATTTTCGGCTACCTCATATCTACTCTGTAAATTACTCTTAGTCCCGATATTTTTATATATGTTATACTACATTAATAAAATATATATCTTATTTTCATTTATCAGGTTACAAAAGGGATCATTTTATTTTAAATGCTAAATTTTATTTGATTTACGAAGATAACTTTACAGCTTTACATATATATTTTCAATTATTATTTTTTATATTTTAATATTGCTTATAAACATGGATTTAAAAAAAATGCTAAAAGAATTTTCCTATTAGCCTTTTGAACCACGGTTTTTTACAGTAATTTTTTCCCATCGTAGAGTATACATAATCCTCTAAAAACGTAAATATTTCAACATCAAATATAATTTGAGTAATGAGTTTTGTTTATTATAAAAAGTAACTGATTTTACATTTTAAAATTTAAATTGTTAACAATGACCCAACAATTACTTCCCGAACTCTTCAATCACACATCGCAAACCTTGAAGAATGTTGTTAAATCTGGAGGATTAAAATAAATTCCAATAAATCCCATCAAATCACTTTTACCCTTCGTAGTAAACCTATGTCCTCCTGTCCTACAGGAAATATATATCTCTAGCGAATCCAGCCGGGAGCCCCCCCCCCTGGGAGGTAGAGGAAATTCCCCCCAAAAAATTTAAAAAACAGCTTTTTAAAGGCAAGAGAAATGCAGGGAAAATTCATCCTCTAAGACGAATTTCCTAATGTGATTTTTTTAAAAATATAATTGTGAACAGCCCTAGTGATTCCTGCCACGAGACGCGTCCCTGCCTTCTGTATGGTGGAAATAACCTTGAAAAAAAAATCCAAAAAGCAACTATTAAAAGAAAAGAGTTCATCCTGGGTGGAGATTTAAACGCGAAACATCATCAATGGGGTTCTAGAACCACGAATTCTCGTGGCAGAACATTGTTGTCTGCACTCAATTCCCAACGTTTCAGTATCCTTTCTCCTAACTCACCTACCTACTGGCCCACAGATCCTAACCGCAATCCCTATATCCTTGATTTTTTCATCCAAAGTGGCTTAGGTCCTCTCAATCATTCCCTTACCCGTCTTGCCGAATTATCCTCAGATCATTGTCCATTATTACTCCAATTATCTCTAGCTCCTATTCCTAAGTCTTCTCCACCCTCCTTCATCAAGGCCCAGTGAACTGGAAACTCTTTCCCCTAATCCTTTCCGATAAAATTGACCTCAGAATAACCCTGAAAACCCCAGATGATCTTGACAATGCCGTACACTTTTTTACCACCACTATCCAACAAGCAATCTGGACTGCTTCCTCTCCAAACCATTCCTGAAGAACTCTTAAGAAAAATAAGTTACCTCAACACCTCATAGACCTAATACATACCAAACACCATGCCAGATTATTATGGCAACGTACTATACACCCCAAGGATCGTCAATCCTATAATTACTCTTGCAAAAAATTAAAGCTAGAATTGGCCACCTTCAGATCCCAATCCTTCAACTCCTACCTTACTTCCCTCTCTTCTCATGACAATTCCCTATGGAAGATCACTAAACAAATCCTAAAACCCCATCATAAATCACATCCTCTCCGTCGAGGTGATGGCTCTTGGGCAGCGTCTGCCGAAGAATTCGCCAAACACCTTCCCCTTACATTCACCTCTCATCCGGAATCCAACCCTACCCACACGCCAGCAGTAGAGCAATTCCATAACTCACCCATCCATCTCTCCTTGCCGCCTAAAGCAGTTAATCCTTCTGAGGTCAAATACCACTTACAAAAACTACCTTTCCGCAAATCACCTGGATACGACCTCCTTACCTCTCAGATCATTAGACAACTCCCTCCTAAAGCTATTATATTCCTTACATACATACACAATAGCATCCTACGAACCACCCACTTTCCTCTTTTATGGAAACATTATACTATTATCCTATTCCCAAAATCACAAGCAAATCTCTCAACAGCTTAGCTTCCTACAGACCCATTAGCCTACTTCCAATCCTTTAAAACATCCTTGAAAAGATCCTCCTGAAATGAATCATATCCTTTATAGAATCTCAAAATCTTCCTTCACACCAGTTCGGATTTTGTTCCCAACACTCCACAGTCCAACAAGGACTTCGAGTGGTCGATCATACTTCCGCAACTCTGGAAAGCAAGCAATATTACTCGCGTGCATTTCTGGACATAGCTCAAGCTTTTGACCGGGTATGGCACGCCGGGCTTCTTTTCAAACTTAAAACCCATCTTCCTCAGTCCTTATAGCTTGTCCTCCGTTCCTACCATGACCTTAATATCCCATTTGTCCTAGATCTTACCCCAGCAAAATTCTCCAAATTTCACCAGAACCTTACCCATCATCCAAATCCCTTTGCACAATGCTTATCCAGCACCACCCATCCCTATAATCATCCCTATAAACGGAAGTGGCCCCGCGACCTTTTATAGTTTGTAAATATTGGAGTTCTAGCATTGGCCAGATTCTCCTCTCACGACATGAGTGTATGTGGCTAAAGCACTCTTGCTCAATCTCCACTGGGCTTAGCCCCAGTGACGCGGTTGAGAGAGAAGTGCAGGGATCTCCTGGAGTCATGCATTTCCCTCTACAGTTGGAGGGACAAGTCTGGTTTGGAGTTATCTCGCCAGATTGTAAATATTGTATATAGGTATGTATGTGTTCTTTTTATTTATTTATTTTTAGGTTATTTTATTCTTATTTATTGTATATATATTATTTTCCTGTATAATTTATTTTATTTATTGTACATAGAGTGTGAATGTGATGTCTGAACACTATTATAAATGTCCTGGAGACCGATTGCAATATTTTTCTATAAATGAGCAAAAAAAAAAAAAAGAAAAGAGAAATATAGGTAAAATTTACTCATATGGAAAAAGCAACTAGAGGGCGCGTCTACCGCTCCCTCCCCCCGGATGGTGTAAAATAATCTTTAAAAAATACCCAAAAACAGCTATTTAAAGTAAAGAAAAATATAGAAAAAAATCATCCTCTAAGACGAATTTTCTAATGTGATATAAAACAATTATTATCGTGACAAGTACTAGCGGATTCAGCCGGGGACGCGCCCTTCGCCCCCCCCCCTCTCATCCCCGGATGGTGGAAAAATTATCTTGAAAAAAATTTCCCCAAAACAGTTATTTAAAGAAAGGAGAAATATAGAAAAAAAATCATCCTTTAAGACGAATTTTCTTGTGTGATATATAATAAAAAAATATCGTGATCGAGCCGGGGAGCTCGCCTCTCTCTCCCTTGGATGGTAGAAAAGGAGGTTCCGAAAAAGTTCGAAAAAGCAGCTGTTTAATGAAAAAATAAATGTAAGGAAAATTCATCCTTTTAGATGAATTTTCTAATGTAATATTTTTAAAAAAAATATTTTTGTGACCAGCACTACAGAATTCTGCCAGGGAGGCCCTCCCTCCCTGAACGCTGGACGAAAATTCCGAAGTGGTTCCAAAAAACAGCTATTTAAAGTAAAGAGAAATATAGAGTGAATTCATCTTCAGTGAGAAATATTCTATTATATTAAAAAAAAAAAAAAAATATCCTGACCACTTTTATTAATCTTACGGTTTGTCATACACGTCAACTCACCACGCTGTGGATCAACTTGCACTCGGCCTTCGGAGCACGGCGAAATTTTTTGAAACAAAGAATAGAATGTAAGAGAAAAAGTTGGCTCGCAGGGTGAAGTGATGCAGTTTTGGGGGCGCCGTACAGTGGGATGGGTAAGGGAAAACTCGGGACATTGGCTAAATCAATTTTTTTTTAAATTGAACTATTCAATAAAAAGAGTAAAAAATATATTCTAGTATATTCTGCCAACTAAAACTATTCTCATGAATTCCAGAAGGTGTCGACAAAAGAATTTATCTAGTTTTAAGGTTAAAGAAGGCAGTAGATCAGCTGATGCGAGGGTCGTATTCTGAAATCTTCTCTCAGTTTTTGCCTATTTTTCAGCGGAATCTCTTTGATTATTTACTTAATACAGTTGAAGTGTACACCACGGCAGTTGTTATTTACTGTTTGCTACATTTTTTTTTTTAATTTTTACTATTTTTTTTTCTCTTATGATATGCCGCATTGCCAGCAAGTGATGTCCAGTAAGGTGCCCACTAAGAGGACTCGGTCAGACGGTGTTAGTACCCCTCGTGATTCACCAGCGAAACAAAGAACTCGTCGCTGCCTGCGAGAAATAGCTCCAATAACCACAGTGAAAACTTCAGGTCCAGAACATCATCCTCAACCAGGTACCTCTTCGCAAGAAATGGTTGAAGAATCTCCTTTCTTCACTCCAAACCCGTTCCAAGTGCTTCATAATGACAGAGAAGTAATGAAGTCAGCAGCAATATCCAGAGAACCAAGGCCTCCTCCGATATTTGTAAAAAATATCAAAAATTTCCAACTACTGTGCACACAACTAAACGAAATTTGCTCCGGCAGTTATTCTTGCCTCAACAGGACTAACGACACAAAAATAACACCTTATACTGCAGAAGCCTACCGAAAAATTGTGAAGTACCTGTCAGAAACGAATGCAAATTTCCACACGTAGCAGCTGAAACAGGAGAGATCGCTCCGAGTGGTGGTAAGAAATTTACACTCCTCAACCCCAACCGAAGTGATAAAAGGAGAATTAGCAACGCTTGGT